TTTTATAGCCATTTTCATTGTTTCTATAGAATAGTAGTTACTATCCTAGTGTCTCATTTGTATTTACTTAGTTTACATGTTTTAATAATTGTAAAGCGCTTAGAGCTTTATGATAAGCGCTATATAAAAATGCCTAAATAAATAAATAAATAATATCAGAATGTTCAGTTTCCATATCTTCAAGCAGTGCCTTGAACTGCCTGTGGTTAAGTGCCCTGGCTCTGATGAGGTTTATCACACTAGTGGATGACACAATGACACAGTGGAGATGTAAGAGTGTACGGTCAGGATGTTATTCTTTAATTTTATTATTCATCAACTTCACCAGACATAAGTTTTTCCCAGTTCAAGCACGAGCTCCATCGGTTGTTACACTTGCCATCTTGTTCTACACCACCAACCCAGTTCTTTTAACACGGTTCTTAACAGTAATGAATAAATTCTGAACTGCGGTTGTTTCTTCCTGAGTGACTCAACACTAAGTAAGTTCGAAACGAGTGTTTATTCCTCTTATAAATACCAACAATTACAATTGTGCTGTGTCCTGTACATCAGTACTTTTGTCCAACGCAAGAGAGTACCACAAAAATTCTTTGCTTGCATGTCGAAGTTGATGCATCAAATTGTCGCATATCTTTTCAACACGCCCGACTACAGTTCTTCTTGATATATATGCAGTCAAATTTTGTTTTCAGTTCTGGACACATAATGTTGGCTGTATCTGACAAGCAATCCTTGATGAACTCGCCATCAGAAAAAGACTTGTTACGTTTTAGAATCTTATGGGACAGCACCAAAACTGGCTTCAGTTGCGTCATCTTGTATTAAAGACTGTTTGGTGAAAACAGTTTGCTGCTTCTTTAAATTGGCAATTCTGGCATTTTCTTTTTCTCTCTTCTTTTGTTAAATTGGGCCCGAAATCCTTATTTATATTTTCTTTGATGATGATCTCATTTTAAATTGTACTCCTTAAAGACGCTGACACATTAAATGGCAAGACAAAGTCCCCAACACGGATGTCCTGTCCCAAACAAACGTGTAGCGTCCCAGCCATGTTAATCCAAAGACGTCTCCGCTGGCTTGGACACGTCAAGCGAATGCAACCTGGTCGCATACCAAAGGACGTGCTATACAGCGAGCTGGCGACAGGGAAAAGGTCAGTTGGACGGCCTCGTCTGAGATACTTAGACATATGCAAAAGAGACATGAAGTCGGCCAACATCGACATCTCAAACTGGGAGGAGCTGGCAGAGGATCGATCCTCATGGCGGGGCATCGTGAAGGCAGGATCACTACATGCCGAGGATCAAAACAGGGCGGAAACAGCTGCAAAAAGAGCGAGGAGGAAGGCCGGTAAATACTGCTCCACCGCATTCGTGTGTGGGAAATGTAACAGAGACTGCCATTCGAGGATTGGTCTCACCAGCCACACACTACAGCAAATTAAAACTATATTAAAACATTACTAAAAAATTTTTGCCCCCCCCCCGGAAAGTTAATCGCTTCCCCCCCCCCCCCCCTTAGAAAGTTTTCTGTGGGCGCCCATGAATGAGAAGTATGTAGCTGTTCACGGTTTTTAATGATGTTCTTGAACTATGGAACTCGTTTACTGATTGTGATTCGCATTATTGCATTCAAATTGCACTCAGTCAACATCGACTTGTTCTTAGACTTGTTTATTTTCAGACAAGAAAAAGCTTGCTCACAAATTATGTGGACTCAAAAAGTGACAAAAGTTTGCCAGAAAAGTTTTTAAAGTGTGGAAAGGCTGCTCTGGCAAAGATCCATAAAACTCAAGCAGAAGAACTGACTTGAACTTCACCTTCAGGTCATAATCTGCTTGCTGGTCAAGCAGCTCCAACTTTTTCCTCTGGGGCTGAATCAGCTTCTCTACTAAATGGCGAACTCAAAATATTGAAGAGTGGTTCCAATTTCTTGAAGTCTTGGAATCTCCTTTCAAATTCCACAACCAATGCATCTAATTGAGCCGTGTACTTTTAAGCCATTTCAACAGAAATAGTTTTCTGTTTTAGCAAAAGGAAATAGCAAAACCTTTTTTCACCTGCTTGCCTGGAGAACAGGGAGAGTTTAGCCTGAAATGATTTAAAATCCACATATATTTCATGCGCAAACAAGCTATTGCCCTGAAGTTTGACATTCAGCTCATTCCACTTTTCAATAATTTCAATGGCAAACATGAAGTCTGACTTCCACTCTTCATTAACAATGTTAGTAACAAAGTCACAATCAATATCCTACATCTCCAGGAAAATAACTGTTTCTTCTTTGAGTTTCCACACTCGGCTCAATATCTTGCCCAGGCTCAGCCAGCGGACACCTCGTCCATTTTCAAAAAGTCCCTTAAAACTCATCTGTTTAGGTCCGCCTATGACCTGTGATGCACCCTCCTTGCCCTACCTCATTTTCTGTTTCGGGTTGATCCTGAAGTGTCAAAGTGTCCTCGTT